CTTTAGAATATAAAAGTATGAGTACTTTTAGAAGACAAGGTTAACGCTATGTATTCCCTCTTGATTCTTTATGACCACCGAGTTCTTCTAGTTCTTTTTCCACTCGAAAAAGGGAAACAGGTGGGGGGTGGGGGGCAGTGAGGGCAGCTTTGGCCCCACCTAGTGGGGTTTGAACCGAAAAAAGAGCCATTTGTTCAGAGCAGATGGGCTGGGGGTGGGTGGGTGGGGATGTTTGTGAGGCCCGTATTGTGAAAATGCAGGTATTGGGTGAGAGGCCCTGAGGATGTTTCACAACGCACGTTGGTGAGCTGGCTGGTGACCTCCTACCTTACGGCCCCCACTGCGCGGACAGTCCCCACCCTGCACTGGTGTGGGGCGGGCCCTCGGACGCATGCTGTGGCCAGGATGGGAATTCCACCTCCCGTTGGGGACAGAGCTGATCCCAAGCACCAGGCAGCTCTGGTGCAGGGAGGGAGGGGCTCCACAGCAGGACCAGAGAAGGCAAACTTCTGCCAGGGCGGGCCAGCAGCTCACTTCTCCTCGGCCCTCTCCTCCCCTGCCTCCGTGGGGGTAGGTTTCCTGGGCCTGGAGATAAAAGGCTGACAGAATTGCCGGATGGCTGCAGTCACACCAGCAAGAAAATGCTAGGCTGTGCCGGAGCCTACCGGTGGCTGCTTAGTGTCCCCCTGCTAAGGCCTCCATGATGTCCCCTGCCCAAACCCATGCCCTCACTGCCCAGATGGTGGTCAGGGTGCTATGGACTCCCTAGGTTTGAAGTCCAGCTCTACTGTTTACTAGCTTCTTGACCCCGGATATTTATTTACCTGGGTTTTCTCACCAAAAATGCAGGTTGTTGGAGGGTTAAGAGAGTTAATGCATGTAAAGGGCACAGCACGGACTGTGGCCCATGGTAAGTGCTTAATAAATGTTAGGTATTATTATTGTTATTACGTTACTAGGTTACATCTGTAGGAGCCTGCCAGCATGGGTGGGAGAGCACGCAGAAGGGCCAGTGAGTACAGCCGTGCAGGTTGTGCACTGTACAACACAGAGCACCATTTACACACTAGTGCCTTCTGTAGTAGTGTAGGAGACAACCCGTGGGTCTATACACTGGCCCTAGATGCCCTGGGCATCCCTACTTCAATTTCTAATAGGTACCACTTAAAGTTGGACCATCGGGGGCAATCTATCTCAAAGAGGATAAAGGAGATAGTATGATTTCTGAGTAGAGCTACTAAGATTTCAATAGGTATGGCCCAGTCCCTGAAAAGGTTACAGGACTATAGGAGCAACAGTTAGGATCTTGGCCAAGTCACTCTGCTCTGAGCCAGTGTTCCCCATCTGTCCAAGGGACTGGGGTGGGGTGGTTGGGCTGGTTACAGGTTGGCAAATGGGCTTTCTCATTGTATGCCAACTCTGACTGATTGGCAGTGGCTGTCTGAGGCTTTGTAAAGTGAAGACATCAGAGACCACTTTGGGCTGGGTGGGAAGGGTTCTTCGATCTATTGGTGATGTCTGCAGGAGGCCCGGGAGAGGGGAGCAGTGGTATGTTGTGCTTGGGCCACTTGCCCGCCTCAGATTGGCCCAGTGGTTCTCAATGCTGGCTACACCTTAGAGTCACCAGAGAAGCTTTACCACCGCTCTGATTCAGGGCTATATAGCCTGGCCTTGGTAACTGTTTTCAAAAGCTCTGCAGGTGATTCTAACGCATGGCTGGGTTGAGAACTGCAAGGGTAGATGTCCCTGTTTTTCCTCGCCATCCTGAGCTCTACAACTTCTTGGCATGGTCAACAGATCTCGGAGCTTTCTTCCAGCAGAAATGATGGGGGGGGGTTGGGGGTTAAAAGGCCAGTTTTCCATCAGTTTTATTGCCGGAGAGGGTTTGTCTTTAAGTTGGGAGGCAGAGGTGGAGGGCACTGGCCACGATCATAGATCGGGGTATGCAGGGTGACCTTTTCTTGGGCCACACTGTGGAGTTTCACTGGGAGGAGGCCCAGGCTTTGCACCCGGGGGATCTCACGGGACTCAAAAAAGCATGGCCCACACGGACTTTATCAGGAAAGCCCTGTGGCTCCCTTGATTTCTTTCTTAAGCTCCTCTCTGTCCCCAGGGAAGGTGGGATATTGGGACGATGCAGAGGCCCAGTGAGGTCTGCAGGAAGTAACATGCCCCAAACTCACAGGTGCACATTCTGGGCCTTTGGAAGGAGTGCCGGGGGGGAGAGGGAAGCAGATGAAAGCTGACCAGGGCCGCTGAGCTGGACAACGCAGGGTCAGGGAGCCAGGCCTGGAGGTGGTGCATTAGGACCACAGGCAGCCCTGGATGCGGACAGCTCCTCCAAATTACATTCGGGGTGGTCAAGATGAGAAGTTTCTGGGGGGGCCACCCCGACCTTAGCCCCACCATGGGCCCAGAATTCAGCCAGCTTTCTCAGCCCCTCCGGACCCAGCCCTGGAATTCCAAGGAGCAGGTCATGCACGGGCTTTGCCTCCCACCCGGAGCAAGATAGAAGCAGTCAAATAACATAGAATTCAATAATATTTTAAAATAAGCTTTATTTAGATTTTTTTTTTTATATTTTATATTTGCATCCATGCCTTCGAGAAACCTTTCCCATGGGAAAAGTTATTTTCATCTAATTTACCCATAACTCATTCGCTATTTGACGTAGTTCTCTTAAATAAATCATCCTTAGTAACTCTTAGATTTATCTCCTAATTTACAAAAACTGAAATGAAAAGGAACTACTAAATCATTACCAGGAGTGGTTGCAATCTTATTTTCTCATAAGTAAAGGGCAAACAATAAAAATCAATCGAAAGGAAAAAAAAAATTCAAGGGGGAGAAAAGTATTTTCTAAAATCTCTCTCCGTAGAGAAGACGCCAGCCCGGGCCGCTCTCCCTCCCTGCCAGGCTTGCAGGAACAGCTTAGCCAAAGGAGGCCAGAAAGGTCCTTATTAGGCAGGGTACCCTGCCTGTTCCTGCCCCACCCCCCCACCCCCCCACCAAGTCAGAAGAAAAGGGAGCAGCCTACTGGTGTTTTTTGTGTGTTTGTTTTAGAGACTTTGGACAAACTATCCTATCCTTCTGATAGAGACTCTCTAGTACTTTCAAATCTTGTAAGAGCTGAAAATGTTACCGTTAGCGGAAAAGCGCAACTACAGTGGTGCAGAGGATGGGCGAACTGAGCTGTGTTAGTAGTTAAGGTGGAGTGGGGGGGTGGATTTACAGGTCAAAAGAAAAGGGAAAGCTAGTCTTAGGCCTTAGGAGGCTCTGGCTTAGAAGCTCATGTGTTCTCCACCACTCTGCATTACAGTGCCCACGGTTCCTTTGCTGGTGAAGCCTCATTGGGGCCAACACTGCTCCCCAAATAGGCAGAGAGATGTTCCTGCCAGCCTTTCACTCCTAGAGTTAGCAGGCTTAGGCTACTGCGACAAGGTGGAGGACAGGGCCCGAGGGATCCCGGGAGATTAAGTGTGGCTGTAGGAACCAAGCAGAATGGGGAGGGCAGAGAGGCTCTGGTGCTGGACACTGTGTCCCCAACAGCCCTCCCCTCCCTCCCTTGAGATGGGCACCTCCCCTAGTGACCCCTGCCTGGCCGACATGCAGAATAACAGACGATGAGAAAGACACGGCTGCAGGAAGAACCTATGCCTCTCAAGGACCCTAGTGGCACTGCTCAGGCCAAGGGTCCCTGTGGCCATACCCCGTGGTCATGTGATTGGCTGTCTCACTCTGTGCTCAACCTCTCAAAAGACAGACCCAAGAGAAAGTGACCATTACAGTAGGCCCTCCTCTCACTGAGGTCAGTGTTTCTTATTTCAGATAAATAAGTAGATATATAAAAGCCTGAAGAGGAGCTGTGGGGAGGGGAGAGAGAAAGGTGGAGTGCACTTTCATGCAGGGGTGAGAGAATGGAGGAGAGAGAGAGAAGAAAAAACAGAAAAAAGCAAGCTTTGAAATCCAATGGTCCCTGGGTTCTGGCCACCCTAAAGTCTACCTTGCACAGTTTGGCAGCAGCATGATAATAGAACAGACAAGTCAACAGAAACACCCGCCTCCCGCCCACCCCATGGAAAAATATACATTCCAATATTTATGTAATAATTTAGATAGAATAAGTCTTCTGCGTTTGTGCAAATAAATTAAACGGAACAATTTTCTTTTTTTTTTTTTTTTCCCCATAAAGAAAGAAACGGCAACGCAATTTAAAAACTGGCAGGCCGTTAAAAAGAGCCCGTTTGACCTCTGGCACGCCGGATCAAGGCAAGGCCCCCCCTGGCCAGGCTCGCGGGTCTTGGCGTCTTGGCAGGGAGCGGGCCTTACCCTGACCACGACGGGGGCAGCTGGCGCTTAAAGTGACTCGGGCGCCCCGAGGGGTGGGGGACAGGGTCTGGTCCCGTGCGTTCACACGGGAGGGTGGGGGGGGACACATCAAAAACAGACCACATCCTTGGGCAGACGGGCTCCAGAAGTAGCAGTTTGGACAAGGGACATTTACAAGCACGGAGTGCACAAGTTTTGTTATTTACAAATACACAGCAGTCCTTCAAGTTTTCAAGTTTCATAAAAAGGAGGAGGGGAGGGGGAAGAGGGTGGGGGAGAAAAAAACCCAACGAACCGAACAAAAAGAAAAAAACAAATCAAAACACGGAAAAGAAACAAAAACAGAAACAAACCCAGATTAACAACACAACTGTATCGCTCTGAGGACGACAGAGAGTTGACAGAGTCACACACGGTTGGAGTATGTACATCAATTACAGAGGCGGCGCCGCAGGGGGCGGGGCCCGCGCTCGGCCACGCCCAGCACCCTCGTGCTCGGGAGCTCGCGCGCGCACATGCCCCGCCACGCACGCCCCGCCGCGCCCCCGCGCCCCTCCCCCCCCGCGCTCGCACGCACGTCCACACGCAAAGACACGCCTGCGCGCGGCAGGCGAAGGGAGGCGGGTATCACCAGTCCGCGTCCTCCTCTATGTAATAATCAGGGGCGGTACCATCAAAGAGGCCGGGGTCAAGGGACTTCCGCTGCTTCCCTCTGGCGAAGACGCGCGAGATGGAGCCGAATCCCATCTTTTCTTTCTTCTTTTTCCGTTTTTGGTCTTCAAGATCCTCTAGTGACTGAGGAGTCGGACCGGGCGGTGGGGGTGAAGGGAGAAGAACAAAGCCACCTGAGCTGGGTGCAGGGGATGGGGACAGTGGAGGGGCGGTGGAGGGGACAGGGACAGCCGATGGGGCCACCGGTGTGTAAGAGGCCAGAGTCTGCCCCCCACCCCCACCCATCGTTTGAGGAGGTGACACTTGGGCCCTTGTGGAAGCTCTCCGGGACAGCAGTGGGACCCACACAAGGCAGTCCTGAGAGTGTGGGCGGGGACGACCATGGTCACAGCAGTGCCTGGGCATCATAACGCCGCAGGAACCGCCAGCTGTTGCTGCTGCTGCACTACCATTGTCACTTAAATTCAGCTTGCCCACAACCCTGGGGTGCTTGCGAGGGCTCCCGGGAGTGCGTCTGCACACCTGGCTCTGGCCCAGTCTCCTGTCTTCGGGGACCTTGCAGCAAGGATACAAGTTAACTGTGGAAAACTCCCCGTGGGAAAAAGGGGACCCAGGGAAGCCCAGAAAATGACGAAAGAGAAATCTGAGCTTTGTGCGGGCCAAGAGCAAGGACCCCCCTGAACCTTAAGGCCCTGGGTAAGAGGTAGGACTGGCCACAGTGGGGAGTAGGGGATGCTGGGGCTTGGGTGCTAGTCCTCATTAGAACCCCTGGCCTCTCTGAGCCCAGTTTTCTAATCTGTGATGTGGAGACACAGTGATGATGGGCATAGGCTCGTATCTGGGTAACTGAGGGCCTGAGGCTGGGGTCTACCAGAGGGCGTTACAAACACAAAGACTTGGGGTAGTGTTCCCCATCCAACAGGTGGACGTTACACTAATGGTTCCCAAAACACATCAGAAGGACCTGAATTCCAGGCCCCACCTCATACCTGGTGGATCAGAATCAGGGTTAAAGGCCCAGGAATCTGCATTTGAAAAGTCTTTCCTGGTGGACCCTGATGCAGATGAGCAGTGCATAGACCAGCATCTGGGAACCCAAGGACTAGACTGCTGATCTCAGAGACCCCTTTTTGACTCTCAATTCCTGTTTTCCTCCCTGTGACCCCTCCCTGACAGGGTACTGAAATGTTAAAAATGAATAAAGAACAGTTTCCTACAGCAAGGGGCCCAAAGAGCCTATGGCCTGGTTCATCAGCCTTTGGCTGCCAGGAGAAGACATTCACCAGGACAGCAGGATGGAAGATGTGTGATGCACTTAATGGGTCCACAGATTGGAAAGAGGACAGGGAAGGGCAAACCAGGTACTGACTCTGGGTCAGGCCACCAAACCATGACTGACCAAGGCAGTAGCTTAACTCCTCTCTGCCTTGGGTGTCCCAGGTATGGAAGTGGCAAGACTGAGGGCCCATGGGAACAAGAGACAGGGGGACTCATGGTCATGATGGGGTAAAGGGAGGGCCCAAGTGGCCAGGGAAGGACACCTACCTGTACAATGGGGTTGTGCAGGTTCTTCTGTACTGGGCCGGGACTGTCGCCCTGTAGCCAAAAAAGAGGGGGGAAATGAAACAGCAGGGACACACAACACACGGGAGCAGAGGTGGCCCATGGAGAGTGGGGTCTTCCATGGAAGGAAGCCATCTCGTAGGGACCACCCTACCTCTGCACAGGTGAACCCACCCCCACCCCTGAAGCAAACCCTCCCAGATGGTTCAACAATGGCACTTGGGGTTTGAGATGCTGCCTGGACCAGGGGTCCTAGGGTGGTCTCCTGCTTGCTCAGGCCTCTTGACCCCCAACACCCTCTGACCAACAAATCAGTCACTTGAAGGCTTCTAAGATCCTGTCCCAATTGGTCCATCAAGTTGGAACTGGAGATTGGTTATACTTGGTGTTGTTCATAAAGAGATACAATTTTAAAAGAAAAAGGCACAACAATAAAGAATTTCAGGACAGAAGACTCAGGAGACTAGGTAACTTCTAATTTCCCCCACAAACAATTCAATGCATCTCTTATTTTGTGGAGAGGTAGGCAGGCCTCGTGAGCCTGATTTACAGATACAGAGGGTAATCCAACATGATGGAACTCATGGCAGAGCTATAACTCAAATCTGGGGCTGTTTCTTCCTGGCCCAGTTCTCCCTTCGGTGGGCATGCAATGGTGGGCGTGCAAAAGCCTTAGCTACATCCCAGAATCTGGCTGCACTGCCTGGTGGGGCAAACAGATCTTTGGGATCACAAGTCATTACAAGGAAGGCCCCTGCTGGTTGTTTCCAGAATTGCAGGCAAAAAAACCATGAAAAAACCAGATGTATGTCACTTGGGCCAAAGTTGTTTTCAACTTCCCTACACTTAGTCCCGACCTCTACTCTAAATTAGTGGCCAAAGAGTAAGAGGGAGAGGTCCTTAGTCCAGGCTGGACTGTTCTTGCTGTGCCAGGCCAAAGGCTTGAGAACAGAGGGTTACCTGGTGCTTTTTCCAGGCTCTTCTTGGCTTACCTGTGTGCCCATCTGTAGAAATGGGGATGGAGGTGGCTGAGGGAGGGCAGGGATGGAACAAATGGTAGTTTAGTCTTTAGTCCCATCCCAAGGTTTGCAAACAGAACCCATGTGGCACACTAAGAGAGGTCTACTCTGGGTAGGGGCATCTTTGTCAAATTCATGGGTAGAGAATGAGGCCAGTGTCCACTAGAACTAGAATGCCTGTCTGCAGACAACTGGCTTATGAAAGCACCCAGGTCCTGGCAGCTAGGCCCTGTGCAAGGTGATCTTGGAAATAAATAGGCTGGACCTGCAGCTGGTATGCGCCAAGGCCAAGTTGGGGAAAAGGCTAGGCCGAAGGCGATTCAAGAGGCATTGAAAGAACCCTTTCTGCAGAATGGACTTTCCAGCAGTATTCTGGCTCTCCGAGCCCCTTTAGGCCCCCCATGAGAAATCAAAATATGGCCCCTGGGAAGGTCTCATCTGGGACTGTACGTGGCTACTCTAGGTCTCTAGCCCATGCTAAGAATAAGGGCGCTGTTGGCTGTAGGTTCAGCTCAGCAGGGGTCCCTCCAAACCAGGGACGGCTGTCAGAAGCCCTCTAGTAGTCTCCTCCCTTGTCCTGGTTCTGTCATTCAAGACAGCCTTTGTCACAGGGGTTCTGTCCTGAGCACTGGTGAAGAACAAATTGCTTTAAGGAAGTTGAAAAAGAATCCCAGCCTCGAGCAGGTTTCAGGACCGGAGCGGCCTTCTCCGCATCCCAGCTGGGCAGGATAAGGCCCTGGGCCAGCGATCCCTGCTGCCCATGTCACCAGGCGAAGGCAGCTAATTTTAAGTTTGGTCTTGGCTATTTTCATCAGTAGTCTTTAGCTACTTTTCATGATTATTGTAGATGGGAAAAAAGTTTCCCTTGTGATTACTCATATAGACAAAAGTTACTGATTATTATACACTGATTTTCAACCAGTACCATTCATGTACTTGGTCATTATTGGTTGTAATAGTTCTACAGTTATTCTCTTGCGTTTCCAGGTAGGTAATCGTAGCTACGGCACATAGGAGTTATTTTGCCTTTCTTTTCCACTATATTCACTTCATTTCTTTTTTATTATCATTTGTGCTGGTTAATAGAACATTAGCTGACTTTTTGAGAACGCTTTCTCATATACTCAAAGACCTATGGGGTCTCGGTCTTCGCGACAGAGGAGCCCTCCATGTTATCAGCTGTGGGACAGAACAAAGCTGTACAATATAGCCTCCACAGCCCGCTCCCCAGTGTTTCATGCTGGAACCTCGACATGGCGTCTTCCTGTCCTCCTCGGATGCGTGACCTGCCTTCATCCCCTCACTCCTTGAAGCCCAACCATCTGCTCTGCCAGTCACCAAGAGTTAGGTGGCTAGGGACCTGCACCTCTTGGCAGGTGGCGCTCAGCATGCCATCAAAAAGTGTGATTAAATAAGCAAAGCAAAAAAGCCAAACAAACACACAGAGCAAATTCATGGGATACCACTCCAGAGGCAATATTTGCCCAAACGCCTAGAAAATTAAAAAAAAAAAAAAAATCTGGCTCATTCCTAGAAGAAGGACTGAGAGCTGGCTCTATGGGGAAATGAAATACTGGTAAGGCCCTGAGCTCTGGAAGGTCACAGCTGGGAGGAGAAGCCCACGGCCCCAGACACAGGAACCCCACCAGAGGTAGTCCTGGGCTGTGCAGACCCCAAGCCGACCCAGGCCTGCCTTCCTCTGGGTTTTTCTTGCCCTCCCGGACAAAAGGAGCAAACAGGCCTCATTTCTTTCTCTCCCCACATCCATCTCTTCTTGCAAAGGGAAAGAACAGAGCAGGAAATGCCTTCGCCAGAGTGCTCCCTGGGTGGACGAGAGGAAACAGCGGGTTCGTCTTCACCCCTCCAGCCCACCCCTGCGGTTTCTGGGCAGGGCCCCCGGCCCCGGCCCCACTGCTGCTGGCCTTACGTTGCAGAGGGAGTGTGTCCGGTGCCGAGGGGAGTTGATGTCGCTTGGCGTGGACGACCGGTCGCCTTCGGCGGCAGACGCGTCGGAGATGACAGAGGGCTGCCGTGAGTGGCAGGGGCTCACCCTGACCGCTGGAAAGCAGGGACAGCTGGTGAGTGAGGGGTGGAGAGAAGGTCCCGCCTGTGCTGCCCTGCTGTCATGCCACCCTACACCCCCATTATCCAGACGAGAATGCTGAGGCACAGAGAAGAGATTGCCTAACCCTCTGCCCCTCCGTTCCACAGACCCACAAGTCACCAGAGAGCAGCTGCTGGGAAAGACCGCCCCGGCCTCTGGATCCAACTAGGCCCTGTCCTAACCACAGTGACGGAGAAAAGGCAGGCATCTCCAGGGACCTTGGTGACTGTCCTCACAAGGCTCCCACCACCTGGACATTCCCTAGACCCAGAACAATCCTAACCGCTAGTCAACACCGACTGCCCCAGGGAGACCCCCAGAGGCCACTGCCAGATCCCCTCTTTCCCCCACACCCCACGCCCAGTCATCCCCAGGGCAGCCCTCCAAATCTGTCCACCTTTCTCCAACCCCAAACACAACCCCAAAGTCTGTCCACTTCCAATCCCAAACACAAATATCCACTTCTCTCAATCCCAAACACAACCCCCAAATCTATCCACTTGTCTTGAACCCCAACACCAACCTGAAACCCATCCACTTCTCTCCAGCCTCACTGCCACTACCAAGCCAAGCCTTGCAGTCTCTCGCCTGAAGACCTCGCAGCCACGCAGCGGCCTCCCTGACCCCACTCGTCACACCGCAGCGAAGCCAGGCATTTGTGTTAAAACCCCCAAGGCCCGAACGGGCTCTGCCCACCCTCCTGGCCTCGGCTCAGGGTCACGCCGGCATTCTGACAGGGCCCAACACGGGCCATCTCCCTCCTGCCTCGGCCTTTGCTGGTCCCGCTGCTCATGGGTGTATTCTCATCGGGGTCTCAGCCTGTCCTGAGAGAGGCCTCCCCCAGTTACCAGCTCTCCCCACACGTTTTCCCACCAAACAGTGTCTCCTGTTGATTTGCCTCCCTGTGCTAATGACCATCTACCCCCTTCCGTCTGTCAGCTCAGTTATGTCCAGTTGTCTGTCTTCATGCCTACAACATCCGTTTCCACGAGGGCAGGCACAGTGGGTGTCTTATCCATGGTGACCCCCAGAGCTCACGGTGCCTGGCACGGAGCAGGTGCTTGATCCACAGTGGTGGAATGGACGGCTGAGCTCGGAAGGCACAGTCCCGGGGAGTCCCCCAGACCCCCCGGCAGACTGCTTTCCCGGCCACAGGCTCTGCCTGCAGGAAGCACTTTCTGCTCGGCGAGACTGCCTCGGGGCCTACTATGTGCAGACAGCCTGCGAGCTGGTAGGGCTGTAGGAAACGGACGTGGGATTTAACATGGGGGGGCTGGGGGGGATGATGGGCAATGAATGGGCTTTGCAGTCAGGGACCTGGGTTCCCAGCTAGGTGATGGCAGCACTGCGGGCTCTGAGGGCCAGCTGCCAATCCCCAACCTGCACGTGTCACACAGAGGCAGCCCCCCCAACCCCCCAGTGTGGCATGGCTGGTGGGTGCAGACGCTGCCGGTGCCAGGAGTGAACACGTGTGACCTCTGTGCACCCCCTCCCCCGCCATCCCACAATTGCCTGCCACCCTTAATCAAGGAGCTCTGTTGTCCCCCAGCCACAGGATCCCCTGAGGCCCAGGCTCGAGAACTGGCGGAGCAGCCCCTGGGCACAATCATTGGTCCAGGGGTTGGCAAGGGACTCAGCCTAGCCAACCAGAGCCCTTCTTTGGGATTTACTCTAAACATAGAGAAAGAGATCATTTTTCTTCCTCCTGACTTTTGTGCTTGAAGACCTTACAAGCCCGAACTTGTTGGAGACTGTTTCGTGGCTTCGTGGAACGAGACAGCCTCAAGAGGAGGCCAAAGGGAGGCAGGTGGGGCTGAGACAGACAGGTGGACACGCCCCAGGGAGGTCTGGCCCTTGAGATCCAGCTATGCCTGAAGTCCATCCCAGGACTTCTCAGTTACACAAGCCTGGGCCTCCGCCCCACAGCCCCCTAAGCAGCTATAGCAGGAAGAGAGGGGCTGCTTCCCCCACCAGGGTGGTTGGCGACCTCCCCAGAAGCCCCCACTGCCAGGGTGGGGCCAGGACTCACCTTGCCGGTCGGCAGGGTGGGGAGGGTGTGAGTGGTAGAGAGTCTGCTGGCTCTGCCGGATGGCCGCAGTCAGCGGGAGGTCCGCCTGCACCACCCACTCCTGGTTGCCGTTGAGCACCGTCTCGCCCGGCATGGCCAGTGAATGCCGCTTGGGGACGTCCTTGGTCAGTGTAGCTAAGGACTGCTTGGCCTGGAGACAGAAAAAGGCGACGTGATCTAGAGGACCCCTTAGTCGGTTGCCCAGCCAGGACCCACCGTGGTGAGAGAGCTGCGAATCCGACCTTGGTACCAGGCCACCTCGGGCTCTGCATCACGTGCCTGTCAGAGTCAATTACCTGCTCACTTTGGGGTTCACTTTGGGGTTCCCCCTTAGTTCCTGCTAACACAAAGTGAGACCAGGATTACGAGAGAAAAGGTGTCCAAGCACACACTTAATCACCCATTCCTTCTGGTTCTCCAAGGGCCAGCTGGGATTTGAATGAGAGTAGAGGAGAAGTCACTGCCTTCCTAAGCCTCAGCTTCCTCACCTGTAAAATGAAAACCCCAGAGCAAGCAATCTTTAGGGCTCCCTCTAGCTTGGACACCCCGAGTCTATGAAATCACTCCCCTTCCATGGCAGGAGGAGGCTGAGTTGGGTGGCAGTCCCATCCCCCAGCTGGGTCATCATCTCCCTTCCGGTTTAGAAAACTATCATATGCTCAGGGCAACAGCCCCGTGTCTCAAGTAGGGAGTGGAAGATTATCTGTGCTCGACAGACGAGAGACTGGAAGCTTAGAAGAAGTGACTCAAGAAAGCACCGCAAGTGGAACCTTCAAGTTGGGTCCTGAGCTGGGGAGTCTGGCCATGACCCTGTGGTTTCTATGTCACCCACGCTCCTCTGGGGCAACGAAATCAGCAGCACAAGTAATGCAGACTCCGAGTCCATGAAGCAGAGGCCGGGGTGTGTCTGGTCACCACGGAATCTGTAGGTCCTGGCTTGGAGCTGGAGATGTGCACTGATCAATAAAAATCCTTAGAATTAATGGAAGCAGGCTCTGCTAGGTCCAGGCTGATGGCTCAGGGGATCTGCTCTGTTAACTTACCCCCAAAGGAAGGGAATAAGCCTGCTGAAGAAAGGGGCTGGGCTGGGGGTGGTGTAGCCACACGAGAGACTGTTTCCTGGCAACCACGGCACCACATCACGTGCATCCAGCCTCCTGGCCCTCCATCCAGGCACCACTCCATGCACGAAGCTGCCCTACTCTCTTGCTTCCTCCTGCCCAATCCATCTTGGCTGCCTGGAGACAGACTCACGGTTGAGAAATGAGCCGCACAGGTCACTTTGCCATCCAGCTAATGAGCCCTCAGCTCTGCCCTCCTGCACATGGAGGGCCCTATGTGGGAAGCCCGGGAAATTTCATGGCAGGATAGCTCTTCTGTCCCCACCTGGCTTTCTTCTCCCAGGCAGGGCCTCAGCTCTGTCTGGGCCTGGGAGAGGTACCTTCTAACTCAGCAGACAGCTTGACCATCATTGCTGCTGGACAGCTGGGCGTCCCGTACAGTGAATCCTGCGGGATGGGGAGGGGGTGGGACTTCTGAGTTCTAAAGCACAGGAACCCTTACAAACAGTCTACTCGGGACAGAGCTACAACAGAGATGAGAACTACAGAAGAGGTGTGGAGTCAACTTAAAGGGCAGGCATGCATGGGGCTGCAACGGGTCACCTTCCCATGGCAGTCTACACTGCCTCCTTCGGCTCAACTCTTCCACTGAACGCGCTTTCATGCTGGGAGCTCCCCTTGAGCTCTGGCTCCCTCTTCTTTCTGAGTCTCTACCCTCTCCAGAGTGCTCTGTGCCTGGACTTCCGAGCTGCTGGATTTGGTGCATTGGCGCAAACCCCCTCACATGACAGGAATCAGATAGAACTGGGTGCAAATTTCACTTCGACTATTTAACTTGCCATGTGACCTTGAGCGAGGTCCTCACCAGTAGGAGGAACGGAGAGGGATCATTTCTAGGCAAACAGCACCCCCTGGATTTGTGTGACAAAGTGGCCCAGGCTAGTGCTTTGGAGTTTGGGCTTGGAAATCGGACAGCTCGGATTTGAGCCTGGCTGTGCCCCTTCCCCGTTGGGGGATCCTGAGTGAGGTCCCCCAGCCCTCGGTGCCTCCACGCCCTCATGTCTAAGGGGGATCCCATGGTTGCTGTGGAGAGTCCTGGTCTATGGGAAAAATACTCAAAAAAGGTTAGTGACTCAGCAGGAAACATCTACCAGGCATGGCCTAAGTTCCATGAAGGCCCAGAACCCAGTCTCTCTAATGCACGCTCAGTAAGTCGTAGCTGCAGGATTGGTGGGGTCACTGACGCCCCCCTCCCCCCAAGATGGGGTGAGAAGATGCAGGAGGCAGGCAGGCCCCTGCGCTGGGCCTCCCTCTGGATCGGGGCTGATGAAGGCCCCTGACTGCCCGGAGGGCCTGCTGATGGGAGGCCACGAAGCAGTCATGTTGGAGGGAGCCTGGGCCCCTGAGGGATGCTGGAGTGCGGCTCAGCGGAATCCTCCATTAGCTTTTCAAGGCTTTCCTGCTTGTCCAGTGAATGTCTCCGCTGGCCAAAGGCTGGGAGGATCCTGGTACAGGAACCTCCAGGAAAACATGAGCAGGTCTGTGAGCAGGTCTGGTCCAGGGCCAGGAGGTGGTGCTTGTGGCAGGTGGGTTTCCGCAGAGCGAGGGCAGAAGCAGCACCAATGCAGAGCACGGCCGCCCCTGTCGTCCCCCTGCTGCTTGACCTGCCTCTCACCCACCCTCACTACGCCTGACTCTTGCCTGGGCCTGTGGCGGCTGCCATTTTTAAAGACAAGGAATTGGAGGTCTAGGCGGTTAAAAGTGACTTGAGGTTGCACAGTGACTGGCCAGTGGAAGGGACACGAAAATCCACACCTCCTCACCCTGGTGGGGCCGAGGACAGGACGGGGCTGGGTGCAGAAGCCCGGTCAGCTGGTATTCACCGAGCATCTCCTCACCTCACCCCCGCCCTCCAGGAGGAAGGTCTTACAGTCCTGACTTCATACATGTGGAAACTGAGCATCAGAGAAGCTGAGTGCCTTGTCAGAGGTCACACAGCCGGAAGATGGCAGGACCCAACTGGGATTCTGTTAGGCCTGGATGGCCAGGGCACGGCCCGGTGCTGCGCCCATGCTCGACTGAAACACCAATGTAACAGAACACTAGTTCCCAACTGGAGCGAACTCTGCCCCCGCCCACCTCCCCAGGGGACCCTGGGAAACGTCCCGAGACTTTTGGTTTTCCCAGCTGGGAGGTGTTCCTGGCACCCAGTGGGCAGAAGCCAGGGAAGCTGCTGGACACTCTCCGGTGTGCCGGCAGGCTCCACAACACCCTTATCTGACCCCAAATGTCAGCAGTGCTGAGGGTGAGAAGCCCCATTTACAGCGTAGTCTACGTAAGAAACATCCCCTGTTTTGGAGAAGCAGCGCTGACAGAAAATTGGGCCACCATCAACCAAGCTCCAGGGCGGGGGAAGGGGCAGGACTAGCATTCTGGCGAAGCCTGTGATCTCGGGGGCTGGTGGTCCTGTCTCCCATCCCCTCTGTGTAGCGGAGGCCAGTGGGGAGGGCCTGAGGGACCGAGCCATGGCTGCTGGGGGAGGTGCGTCCTTCAGACCAGCAGCCAGATGTCCTTATAAAGGCCTCGAGAACAAAGCCACCACATCACAGAGCACAGGGCCTGTGACTCCCAGCGCTGCCTTTCCACCTGCTGGGCAGCTCTGGGCGAGCTCCTGCCCTCCGAGCCTGTTTCCACGTCCCTAAAATGGGCACAAGAGGAATATAGGCCTCGTTGGAGTGACTGCTCGTGGGTACGAGTTTCTTTTCGGGGTGGGGAAACTGTTATGGAACTAGATCGTGGTGAGTGCTGTGCAGCTCTGTGAACATACTCAAATCCACCGAGTTGTACATCTTAAAAGGGAGAATTTCATGGCATGTTGACTTATATCTCAATAAAAGAACTTATTAAAAAACATATAGCTACCCCCCCCCCACAGGGTGGTCTCACAAAGCTGATGTGGCTACATGTGCCATGAGTGGTAATGCCTGGTTTGGCCAGGGGTCGTTCATCTGGAACGTTCCCCCCGAAAGGGCAGGTGGCTGAGCGGGCACGTGGGTGCTGACCACCAAACACTGAGAGGGCTTTGCTTCTTGGGAAGCCAAAGTCTTTGACTTTTAGTGAAGGGAAGCAGCCTTCAGAACCATACAGGGTGTGTAGAGACCTCCAGCCCAGCTCCCCTGCCTAAATTGGGACAGGGCCCGCTTATGCTCATCAGGCACTGGGCTGCTTCCCAGGCTCTTAAGGTCACTGGCAGGTGTGAACTTGCCAGCTCAGCTCCCATCTCCTTGGTGGCACCTTGAGGTCACTTAGGAAGTCACTCATCACCAGGGGCCACAGCCAGGACCCCTAGGCAAGTGGTGAGCAAGTGACTCAGGATGGGCCATTCTGCACCTTGTGTTGAATCGAAGTCGTAAAAAAAATTGAGGTGCCATTCAAGGGCAGGTTCAGGGTCATCCTCCCCAGCAGGGGCCACCGAGCAGACCGCTCCATGTAGGCCCCTGGCTTCCCCACCTCCGCAGCCGCCTGGACGTCGGCCCATTTCTAAGCCTTCCCGCTGCCTCTGTGAGCTCCTCACTTCCCTTCCGGCACATTCCACAGGCTAAACCTGCCAGAGTGGCTTTCTGGTGCTCACCCGCAAGGCACACGCCCAGGGATGGCGGCCTCCCTTTAGTCTCAGCCGGGCCAGCAGGGCAGCAGGGCGAGCTGGTTAGTGCCACCCGGAGCAGACAGTTCTGGAAGTCTCTGGGGTGTGACATTCTACAGATGGCGAGCGACAGAGGGGCTGGCGAACACCCCCACAACATTGGGGCTGTCACGCATCTGGGCACTAGGCCCTCCCTCTGCCGCGGAGCCCTGGGCGGACCTCGGCCAAAGTGACGGAGAAAAAGCCCGCACTCCAGGCTGCGAACACACACCGTACGCACTCCCGCTTAGCAGGGGTCTGATGCCCACCAGAGGAGGGGCCAGAACCTGAGCTGCGCTGACCAGAACGGAAGCAGGCTGAGGAGTCTGGGCATGGTGAGAGGAGAGAGATCTGCTTCCCAGTCCTGAAAGACCCCAAGAAATCCCCCGAATGCCTGAGGACTGTGCTCCAAGGCCAGAAGACACACCTGGCCTCTACTGGGCCCTCCGCAAACCCCACTGGTGGGGAAAGCACCCACCCTTGCAGGGGACCTGGCGGCAGCAGCTGCTTCCGGCCTGGGCAGTTCCGACCACTAGGGGTCAGCATTGGACAGGAGACCCAGGAGGGGCCCAGGGGTCCTGACCTGCCATGGCACCGCCCACGATCCTGAAAAAACCGACCCTAGAGAACCTTTGTGTCGCCATATCACCGCTATATACAGCACCAGGCAAAGCAGTTCCCTGGCATTATTTCATCAAAATCCCCAGGCTCTACGGGATATATGCAATTATCCCTACTAAGACTTGATGAAACAGGTTCCGAGAGGTGAAGGGTCCTGCCCAAGGTCACACAGCTAGCAGGCAGTGGGGCTGGATTCAAACCCAGAACCCATGGCTGTCCCCCACATAGTTAGCCAGCATCAGTGCTCTCTGCAGGAGACCGCGGTGTTCTAAGAGCTTCATGGGACTCCCTCACCCACCCCTATCCCCCAGGAGCACCCTGCACACTCTCTTCCCAGACAAGGTCACACTGAGCCCTTGGTGGTCCTGGCTTCCTCCTGGGAGGACAGGGTAAGGTAAAGACCCTCCCCCCATTCTGGTACCAGATAAAGGGCACTAAAGTCCAGAGAAGTTTAGTGAGTGGCCCAAGGTCACACAGGAACAGGCAGAGCAGGATTCCTGGGCCCTGGACCCCTTTCACCAGGCCCGGACACACCACCTGGGCTCTCTGTCCCCACAGGCGGGCTGGGCACTTCCATGGAAGACACAGTGTTTGGAAATACGTGGAAGGTGTGTTTGGGATTGGGGAAAAAAAGAATAACATTTTTTCCTTGACAACCCAAGTAAGACATTTTCACTAGAGATTTCCTGCAATAATCCTACCCAGAAATAACCACTGTTAGTTTTTTGGTGCATTTTCTCCCAAACGTTTTCCTAAACAAGTATGTGTATTTTAAACAAAAATGGCTTTGTTTGTTGACAGTGGAAGTGTGGATGGGCTCCCGCACGCTCACCAGGCCCCTGCAGGTGGATGAGAGGTTGCAGCCTGGGCTCAGGGGGCTCGGGGGTCCATGTGGAAGGAGGCTGACAGAGCATCACGGACCCCACAGCCAGCTGCACCCCTTCCTCCGCTCCGCTGCGGGACTCCCGGCAAACCTGTCCCCACCCCGTCCCCACACCCCTTCCCCAGCGCATCACGTGGCCTCTAGCAGCTTTCTGGACACCCCAGATGTGTGCGGGTGGGGCAGGGTCTCACCATGGCCAGCTCAGCCTCCAGCTCCTTCATCCGGTTGTCCTTGAGGTCCAGCTGGGAGCGCAGCGCCGTGGCATGGTCCGTGGCCTCCTTGGCTTGGCGCCGCAGCTCCCACTTCTCACGCTCCAGCAGGTCCTTCTCCTTTGCCAGGGCTTTGACGGCGTCTTCGCTCTCCTGCAGGGACAGAGCGCCAGGCCGTTACAGAGGGGGTGCAGGGCCTCCTCTTGGAGGGGCCATAGAGGCCTTGATCCCTGGACCAGAGGAAGATGAGGGAGGCCCCTGGCTCTGCCTCAGCTTAGCTGGGGGACTGGACTGAGACAAACCTTTAGTAGGTGCTCCGTACGTCTTGTTTCCGTGAACAGATGAAAAAATGAATGTGACAAATGTTTCTACCCCATCAAGTCTCCGTTTCTCCATCTTTAATACCGGGGCGGGGGGAGAGTGTCGACCCCACTTGTTTCAAAGGACTGTTATAAAGATGAAATGACTTCCCGAGTTGGGGATACATGGAGTCTGGGGGAAGTCTGGGTCAGGAGAGGTGTTGGGCTCTGGTGTTTGGTAACATGTGTGTCACAGGAAAGGAGAGATGGAGAAGGAGACACCTGCTGTCCGGCTGCTCTGGTTGCCCGGGGGTCCCGCAGCACCCCGCAGGGTCACAGCCCATGCCAAAGCAGGCTGAACCCCTCCACGAGCGGCTGTGACCAAAGGCAGCAGGGTGCCCGGCAGAACCCCCAGCCCCGAGCCGTTTCCTCGGAAATGCAGAGGGATGGTCCCAGAGCTCCAGCTGCCCCGAGCCGGAGCAAAGCCAAGGAACAGACGGCTGTGTCAGGGGGCCTGACCTCCATGGGCAGGAGCCAAGCGTCCGAGCAGCAGGTGCCCTTTCCGAGAAGAAGGGTCCCAGCGCAGGGCCCTGCCCAACCACCACCCCATCCCCCACCCCCAGCAAGGCCTTCCCATTCACGGGCTCAGGAGCCCTGCTCACAGTCCGTGTGCGGCCCAGGGCTGTGCGGAGAGGCGGCCTTCCTGCCTTGTTTGCCAGCCCTTTCTCCGAAGGCCTGACAGCCAGATGGCCAGAGCCAGGGAGGCCCAGGGCTAGCCCTTCCTCTGGGGCTGTCACAGAGCTGAGGCTACAGCTTACCGTCAGGGGAGAGGGAGTGTGGGTCAAATCCCGGCTCTGCAAGGACAGGCTGCAAGGACTATCAGGCCCCCACGCCCTCGTCTGTAACCCGGAGATAACATGCCAGGACTTCAGGTGTTATTCTGAGGACGGACTGAGAAAATCCACGTGGAGAGCACAGCACCACACGGGCCCGTGGCCATCCCGGCTCAGAGGTCCTCTCCGAGTGGCCTTCCTGGATGACCCACCTGAGAGCGGCTCTCTGTGCTGCTACCCAACGTTGGCATTGAACCCATATTCACGGACACTGTGGGCAGGAACAAGCCTCCCAGAAATGCCTGTATCCACACAGGGCATGAGAGCAGGGATGTGCCGTTCGGCGCATGGGCACATACCTGGGTCCCAGAGGGCCAGCCCACACACAGCAGCGGGTGACAGACACTGTTGCTACATGATTGGGCACCCTCGGCTGCAGGGGGCTGACCTGACCGGGAGGGCCACGGCACCACAGTGCCCATGCCGGCTGCGAGCAGCACCCCCGCTTCTCAGTGCAGCCTCGGTGGGGGGCAGGGGATGGTCCCTTCCAGGACATGGCACTGGCCCCTGCTCTCTGGGCTCAGGACGCCTGGGTTGGAATCTTTGCTGCAGGACACTGGCTAAATTATTCAACCTCCTCAAACCTCGACCAACCGCCTCATTTGTGAGACAGCGACAGTCCCACCTCCCAGGGTGACAACGCTCGGCAGAAGGCAGCCATGCAAGCTACACAGCGACAGATGGCACTATCACCCCATCACAGGTGGAGCCATACTGGAAGGTTCTGGAAGCAATCCGCTCAGTGCAGGGAGGCATGCCACTGCTGGTTAGTTCTTTTTCTGGGGACCTGGGTTCAGGTGGGGTCAGGGCAGCAGGGGACAGGAACAGCCCCTAGCATGCACATGGATGGGGAGCTCTTACCCTGGGGGCTGAACTACATCCTGGGCATCTGCCCCCAGCACCAGGCCACAAGCCTGGATCACAGAAGGGCCGGGGACGTGAAGTGTGTGGAACTGAGTAACTGATGCTGACCCGCGGCCGCACGGCTGCCCTCAGCTGCAGCAGCTTCAACCCTGCCCACACTGCTAGCTGGACTTAGGGGGGGCCCCCAGTTACCTGGACTTAAAAAAAGGTCATGGTCCAGGGGTGAAGTGGGTCTCCATGGAAATTTCATTTTCCAGTAAGAGCACAATTATAAAAACAAATTTGATGACCCCTTGCCAAGACAGAAGTGTTTGCTGTTAAGCCTCAGGAAGGCCACAGTGCCACTGGGATGCTCAGCGCACCACCCACGGCTCCTGGGCCGGGGCGGCCACGACCTCCTCTGGTCTGCCTTGGGTTGCTTGGTAAACAACAACAGTAAAAATAACTTGTTTGGCTAAACTCCTACTCACCCTGCAGAGCCCAACTCCTATGTCCCCTCCTCCGTGAAGCCTTCCAAGACTCTTTTCCTGCAGGCAGAATTTCCTGCTCTCTCACCAGGGCTCCTGGGTCTCTCTGCACACTGTTATTACGGTATTATTAATAAGATGCGTAGCTAATATTCACCGAGCCCTTACTGCCAGATGCCACGCAGACTGCTTTGCATTCATCACATCTCATCCAGTGCTAACACCTCTACAAAGTCTGAGGCTCTCTGAGGGGAGGTGAGATGCCCTAGGGCACACACCTAGGGGGCTGGGATCTGAACCTAGGCCAGCTGGAATCCAGAGTCCACACTGTCAGCGACTGGGATGTCCTGTCCAGGCTTATCTGCCCAGGAGGCCTGCGGGCCCCCCAGCTAGGGGCTATGCCCATTTCATCTCCATACCCAAGCCCGGCCCAGACACATCAGAGGCCTCCTCAGGCGTGCAGGGGACATGGGCAGTGAGTGTGTTTGGGGATGAGAGAAGCCAGACCTCCTGATGGCAGAGAAGGTATCCTGCAGGCAGTGGGAGGTGAGGGTGCTGGTGTGTCTGTACAGGGGGTAAGTGGGGAGGGACCTGGTGTGGGGTGGGGGAGGGGAGGGAGCAGGGGGAGGGGAGAAGACTTAAGGGAGAGGGAGGGGGAGGAAAGGGGAGCTGAGTGGGAGGGAGCAGGAGGAGGAAGGGGGGAGGGCTGAGGGAGAGGGTGCTGGTGTGGGGGGGGAGGGCGGGCCGGCCCCCACCTTGCGGTGCTGCTCGTAGTTGCGGATGAAGTCGCGCAGCTGCTCCTCGCGGCTCTCCAGCGTGGCGTACAGCTGCTGCATCTGGCTCGCCAGGTCCGTCTTCTCGCCCTTTAGGCGCTTCCGGTCCGCTTTCATGGCTATGGGGGCAGAAGAGCGCGTCAGAGCCTGGGGCCCTCGCTGGCCGATGGCCCCAGAGGCTGAGAAGAGACCCAGCCTCTACCCTCTTTTTAAGAGAAGAGAAAACGGGGTGCAGAAAGATGATGTTTCTCTCCCACGTGCCCCGGTCACTTAGTGGCATCCCCAGGACTCGAACCCACGGTCCCTGTTCTCACCTCTCAGTTTCACTGATCCAATCAGGGCGGCAAGCCCTAGCCTGAGCATCCCTCCCAGCCCTGAATGGAAGAAGGGTCTCCAGGCAGAGGGATCTGGGGGCCTGGCGAGCATCTGCGTCCACGGCCCAGGAAGCTGACGGTGCCCCACTCCCTGCTGAAGGAGCCCCCACGGCCCACTTGGAGCCCCAGGACCACTCGGCCCAGTGCGACAGTCCATCGTCTGGTTCAGTTCCTCCGCAGGAGAAGCACTTGATTAAAAATACCCAGAGAGTGGGGCGCCTGGGGGGCTCAGTGGGTTCAGCCTCTGCCTTCGACCCAGGTCATGATCTCGGGGTCCTGGGATGGAGCCCCGCATCAGATTCTCTGCTCAGCAGGGCACCTGCTTCCTCCTCTCTCTCTGCCTGCCTCTCTGCCTACCTGCGATCGCTCTATCAAATAAATAAATAAAATCTTTAAAACAAAACAAAACAAAAAAACACCCAGTGAGATACAACACCAAAAGTATTCACAGCGGAACAAAACACAGCTGCATCACACTCCATCAACACGGGACACTGCTGAGCTCCCGAAGCCACCACCACGGAAGTGCAAAGACAATGCAGAGAACGGCAGAAAATACTTCCAAACCGTCTGGTAAGGGCCTTACGTGCCGAATATACAAAGAACTCTTAAAACCCAATAATAAAAAGACAATCCGAGTAAAAAACAGACAAGCCATCTGGACACACATTTCTCCAAGAAGTGGTCAACAGGCACATAAAATGAGCTTGACGTCATTCGTTAACAGGGAAACACAAATCAAAACCCCCACCAGATACCACTTCACACTCACCAGAATGGCCAAAATAAGCAAGATAGACTCAAGTGTTGACACGGATGTGGGGAACCTGGGACACCTCCCAAGCTGCTGCCCGGGATGGATGGAATGGGGCCGCCATCTTGGAAAAGAGTCTGACAGTTTCCCAAGTGAGTCAAAGTCAAGTTGCCCCATGATCCAGCAATTCCCTCCTACGCACACACCCAAGGGAAATGAAAACATAAGTCCAAGCAAACACACAAATGTACAGCAGCACAGGTCACAGAAGCCAAAAGTTGCGAAACCGCCCAAATGTCCATCAACTGATGAATGGGTTAAGAACAACAACACAGTGTGGTGTATAGCCATATAACGGAATGTTATTTGGTAATAAAAAGAAGCACTGGGTGGCTCAGTGGGTTAAGCCTCTGTCTTCAGCTCAGGTCATGACTTCAGGGTCCTGGGATCGAGCCCCGCATCAGGCTCTCTGCTCAGCTGGGAGCCTGCTTCCCCCTCTGCCTCTGCCTGTCTCTCTGCCTACTTGTGATCTCTCTCTCTCTGTGTCAAATAAATAAAATCTTAAAAAAAAAAAAAAAGAAGCACCACTTTATGCTGCACCACGGGTGAACCCTGAAAACATGCTACATGAAAGAAGCCAGTCACATACCATGTGATTCCACAGACTTTACGAACAGTCCACAGTAGGGAAGACTAAGGAGTCACGAAGTAGACTCATGGTGGCCCAGGGTCGGGGGGTGGAGGCTGGCAGGGACACGTGGCTGGAGGGGTGGTGGCTGGAGGGCATGGGGTTTCTTCCTGACCTCATCAAAATGTCCTAATAGTGACTGTGGCAAAGGACATACAATCCGTGACTAGACTAAAAACTACTGAACTGTACATTGTAAGTCGGTGAATTGAATGATATGTGAATTATATCTTAACAAAGCTCTCTCTCTCTCTCTCTCTCTCTCTCTCTCACTCTCACACACACACGCATGCACACATCCCATGCAGGGCCACGAGCCCCAAGCAGCTGCCTGGCAGGCAATTTGCCTTTTGCTGATGGCAGACTCTCTCCCTTGTGCCCCGGACACCCCTGTTCTTTAGCGAATGGCGCTGCTGAGTCCACGGTGGGCCTCAGTGCCTTTTCCCACAGGCCCCAGAACTCTGTTCTCTCCCTGGAGAGAACACTGAGGAAGCCTTTTGTGTGAGAAGGCACAAAGTAGTTAGGCCATTTTCCCGAAGTCACACAGCCATGTCTGACCCCAAAGCCCACACAGCCGACCCTACACTACGCTGCCCTCATAGAGAATGTCCAAATGGGGTCCGGGCCCACAGTGAGCGGAGGGCAGCGATATGCGGCAGGCAATGGCTGTACCACCCCTCCTCATCCTGAGCATCCACCCCACAAACTCAGCCTGCCAGTGGGAGAGTCGGAGCCACCAGGTGTGACATAAGGACCAAGGACCCTGGGCTCCCAGCCTGGTGTTCGACAGAAGCTGATGTCCTTCTGGCCCTGAGGGGACTCCTTCGTCCTCTTGCCCTTTGCCTCCCTCCCTGCAGCCTGGGTAGAACAGGGCACAGGTAGGTCTGCTGGGACCATGGGGAGACCCATGCAGTGGGGACCCTGAGTCTTGGGCAGGCCTTTACATTCCAGCTTTCAACCTGTCCCCCTGCAGCTGGACACATCCTCTGTCCTCTTCAGGGTAGCTCAGCTCAGTGGGGCCGGAATTCCGGGCTGCAGGGCTGTGACTACAGGACAGGGACAGTGGAGGCCATGGAGAAAGAGCTCATCTGCTGTGACTCCTGTCAAGCAGGGGGTGGCCCCGGGGAGGGCTGGGAGGCAGGCAGGGCTGGGCTAGTTTTGGGCCCTGGACCCTAACACGGTGTGACTGCACTCCTAGTGAGCTTCTCTTTAAGAAAACCCAACATCTAACGACGTTTAAGTGGGTCAGAAGGCATCTCACCAGGCACAGGTGTCACCGAGAACTTGGAAATTTCCATCTGCAGTCTGTCACTAGATCCTAGATCCTGGCCGCACTCCAGTGACAGAAGTGGGAAGTGGGTGGGTATTTTTATCATCCCATTTCATAGGGGAGCAAACTGAGGCCACACAGCCAACAAATGGCAGAGCTGGCTCCGACCTGGCACCTGACTCAGGCGGGTTTCAGACTGTCGAGGGGCGTGGTTCCAAGGGGTGGGGGACTGCGGGGGGGGGGACAGCTGATCTGAGCAAAGTCACCATGGGGGCTTCCAGGGGAGCCTTGGGTGGGACTCTCCATCTCAGGGGAGCAGCTGAGCAGGTGTCATGGACTCCCCCGGGGAGCACGCCTCTGCCCTACAGCAGGCAGAGGAAGCCATGCCTCTGCCTTTTGGTTGGAAATTAATCCCCCTTGGGCTCTGATTTGTCTCCTTCATTTGCCTTATCAGGACAAACACCAAATTCCAGACTTTGCTCTTGACAGCAGGAGGCTCTGGGAAGGCTGCCGCCCCTTTCCTCCAAAGCACGGCCGGGCCTCCCTTCACTTTTGCAACATGGCCTTGGAGAGGGGCGACGTGGCAGCCTCTTGCTGGCCTCCATGAATCCCCACGGGTCCATCCCTGCAGCACCCGCATGTGTAGCCGCACGAACTCCCATTCTGTCCTTCAGCGGAGCCGTGTGAGTGCGTGTGTCTCTGTGTGTGGATGGCCTCAGTGGCAGGGCAGGAGGCCATACCTCCCCCATCCGGCTGGGGGCTCCTGAGAGCAGAGGCTGGACTTCCACCTTCAGACTGGTAGCTCCTCCTCAAGAGGAAACGGAGAGCTCCCCCAAACTGCTGACCAAGCCCCTTCTGTGTGCCGGGATCCATGCCTGCTGTTGTTGGGGGACAGGGATGAACAAGACACAGTCCCGCTCTTGGGGGGTCAATAGGGCGATGGAGAAGACAAACCCCTCCCTACACACGAGGATGACACTAGACTCCACTCACCCTGCTCTTTACCAAGAGAACCCCAATTCTGTTTGTGCCCAGCTAAAACACTCAACATCCCAAGCTCCCTTGCAGCTAGAGGGGGCATGTGTCCAATTTTGGCCACTAAGATTTATACACAGGGGTCTTTGGGAAATCCCCCCTTTTCTTTTTTTCTTTCCTTTTTTTTTCTTTTCTTGAGAGACATGCTGTGCTGGAGTGGTGGGGGTAGGGAGGAGAGGGGAGGGGCAGAGGGAAAGAGAGAATTCCAAGTAGGGTTCACGTCCAGTATGGAGCCCAATGTGGGGCTTGATCTCACGACCCCGAGATCATGACTTGAGCCGAACTCGAGTTGGACCTTAACCAACTGAGCCATCTAGGCGCCCCTCCCGTTTCCTTTTTCCCTTTTTTTTTTTTTAAGGTTTTATTTATTTATCCAACAGAGAGAGAGCACAAGTAAGCAGAGTGACAGGCAGAGAGAGAGAGAGAGAAGAGAGAGAGAAGCAGGCTCTCTGCTGAGCAGGGAGCCCGACACGGGGTTCAATCCCAGGACCCTGGAATCATGACCTGAGCCGAAGGCAGCTGCTTAACCAACTGAGCCACCCAGGAGCCCCCCTGTTTTCTTTTTAGTAAAAGATCATAGCATAGTACACTAGCAGTAATTATTCCCTTTTGCCCTTTGGTCTTCTTCCTACTGGGAACACAGACGTGATATCCTGAGGCACAGTAGCCCTTTTGTGAATACAAGAATGAAGACACAAGCTGAGCATGGGAGCAGACAGACAGACAGAAGGGGCTGGATCCCTGATGGCATCATCTGGGCCAGGATTCCTTATAATAGGAGAAAATTAAACCCCGCTGTTTCTGGGATTTCCCATTTCATGCACCCCAACACATTCCTAATGGACACATCAAGGTAGGCTGTGAGAAGTGCCTTCACCCCACCATGAAAGTTTCTGCTCCATGGTTCCTTCACGTGAGCTCTCCCTGGAAATTCTTGCTCTATGAATTCTGGGCTGGACCCCGCCAGGCTGAGCACTTGAAAAAAACATGAAAAGCTG